AGTCAGGCCCAATTTAAACAAATGGGCTAGCCTCGAGCTCAATAAAAGGCCATGATAGGATGAACATGTTGAAATCACGCCAGTTGCAAATATTGGATTGTTGGCACATTAAAGACATGATCTCAAGTAATTATGGAATCCACAGACATTGTGCCCAAGTATCTTGGTGAGACGGGCTAATTACCAAAAGAGGAGAATATTGAGTAAAGACCATGCCATAAGTTTCGCAAAATCCCTGATTCTTTGGCAAAACATTCTAGGTCTTAAGGGGAAGGCTACTACCACCATAACACTATAAATAGAAGACGAAAACACTGAAGAAAGACAATCAACACTCAATCAAATACTCGCATTCTGCACCTTTAGCTTTTAGTTTTCATTTTCAATCTAGACTTGTAATTTTTTCACATATTTGTTCTACCAAAGCCTTGTATATCTTGTACATTCGAGTGAGTTGTGATAAGAGAGCTCGGAACCCTTTTGTTATCAATTGAGATTCAAATTTCTGGCACGCTTGATATTTGTTGTTCACACGATGAACAATTGGAAAATGTTTCATGAATTTATTGTTTTATTTCAAACTATTGGCATGGCTAGATTTATTTACCAGCTATATATTGCAACCTATATCTTTTCATTGATATCATTTTTTTTTTCAAACAATTTTTTCTTTGAACCATTTTTATTAAAACTTGCGACTTTGGCTTCTAATACAATTTGTTGAGAATTAATAGGGAAAAAAAGGTCTGTAAAAAATTAAGCCATGTTAAAAATTTTCAAACGAGGTTGTGATGCATCGGCTTTCAAAATGTGAAAGGAACAGACAGAAGAACTGTAAATGCATTTATATTGACAGATTCTATTTCGTGAGGATTATAAATGCATTCATTTTTTATGACTTCAAGTAATCTTGGGATACGATTGACTATAAATTTATATATATGTATATATGTAGGGTCCGGTTCAATATGCATTTTCTGAATTCCCCATATTCTTACTTTTTATTTCATTCTATATATCTTTGCTTAATGCCACTTTTTTTTATATTTTTTACATTTCACTTTTTGTTTTTTCTCTTTTTGCATTTCACTTTCATCCATTACCAACAACGCATTCAAATATTTTTCTTGTAAAGTGTATTAATTAATTTCTAAATAAAATATTATTTTATTTTTCAAAATTAATGAAACACAAGAAATAACATAAAATTAAGGGAAAAAACGAAGCATAATAAAATTTTTAATAAATAAATTAAAATAAAAAAGGAAGAAAGAAAAATGAAAATTCGAGGTAAAGTTAAGGATAACAAATTTTGAATAAAAATTAAACGACCAATGTGAGACACATTGGATATTTAGTTTAATTATTTAACTTTATGTATGGTTTCAGTTTGGATATTTAGTTTTATGAAATTTTTCAGTCCTCTAACTCTCACCCATTAGTTAAATAATAACATTTTATGTCCGTCATTGTTATACTTAAAAAAAACTTAATATGTCAATATTGAAGAATATTTTGTCAATCTTTAAAAATTTAATGTCAGCATTTTTTTGTTAATAAAACAAACTGTGTTAGGATTAAGAGATTGAAAAAACACTTTATAAAATTACAATGAAACTTGTGAAATATTAAATCACTAAAGACGTATATTTGCCATAAATTTTTAAAAACACTAGGATCAACTGAAATTAACAAATATAAAAATTATGAAATTATAAATGTCACACCCCAAAATATGGGAGTAACCGGACACAGAATATACACCTAAACACACATCCCTTAAGCCTAATTCAAGAAATGTTTCATTTTAAAAATACTTCTCATTTAAATGAAATCTTAATATTTTTTTGTGAAAATTCCGATAGAATCTCCCTTAAAAGTAGGATTTCCCTGAAATTTAACCATACAAATTTTTTTTAAAAGAAATATTATAACGAGCTTAGCTCCTTCCAACCAGTAAACAAACTATTTACAAAGCAAAGACTCTCACCATAGTCTATGTGGTACACCTATAACATTATTTTATAAAAGTATAATATATAGATTAAAATTTTACATAAAAAGAAATAAAGATTACCAAACCAAAATTACCAAAGCCGATGAAAATAATTTTATTAATCTTGAAAATATTCTTTATAAGGAAAAAACACATACACATTATAATTCAAATATCTTTTAACATCTCTTTACAATTTTCAAGATAAAAATAATTTAATTAACAAAGTATTGAATATGTAATATAATTGTTATTAAATGATTTATGAAAAAAATATTTTTGAAAAAAAGAATTTTATTCATAAGTCAGTTGAGACACTACTCACTTACCTGATAAACTTCCAAAATAATAATTTCTTCCTTCTAAACATGTCTTTTCCCTTAAGATACTCTATCACCTAGACAAGAAGAACAAACAACTTTCTTTAACGGTGACTTCACCCCATACATCTCCAATAGACATTCATTTACCCAACATCTTGCCTAGAACATATTAAAGTCTTCTCAATCCTTATTTGTCCCTAACCCACCGATCATCTTTTAAAAGAAAAATATATATATTCTTCTTATTTCATTTCACAAGTTCACTCTAGTGGAAGCATGCAATTTCTAATCTTATACTTGCAGGTATTCTAATATCAACCCAATCTCCTTAAATTAATTAAGGCCACCATTCAGAACTCAATGAACACATTTTCAATCCAAGTTCATGACAAATAAAATAAATAAATAAGTTAAAATTAATTAATTTATAAACATTCAGGCAATATCTGCACATTCTCAAGTATTAATGTAAAGATTGAACCACTTAAATCCTAAATTTTTGTCCTTGATGCACCTAATATATCAACTCTTTTCCAACATTAACATAACCGTAGTTTGTCTACATAATTTAAAGCTACCCAAACACCATAATTTATATTATAAAGTTTCTCCATTATTAATCGTAGTTAACTATTTCATAAGGATATTCTTAACATTCAAATATCTTGCCCAACAAATTATTTATAACCATAAAACTTCTAAGAATAATTCAGCTAGTTGCCCATTAACTTCATAATCAACTTCCTTTGTAAAGTTCAAGTCAAGTTCATAAATTATTAAGGCCCAACCTAGACATACTCCTCATAAGAGTTAGTGGAAAAAAAAAACATACTTAAACAAAACTCCTAATGACAGACATTTGATTGAATACCTTGCAAGTATCAACCTCAGACTAACTTCCCAGTCCCTCCTCTTCAATTCCATTTCTCAAAAATTCTCCAATAAGATTATTGGAACCAGTCAACCTCTTGAATTCCATTCTTTAATGAAGAAAGATCAATTTTTAATCTCAAAGAAAACCCAAAATCCAACTCCTCAACACCCACAGTGATTAAAAAGGAGAAATGCATGACAATAACCATCAAATGCACACAGCACCGGTGAAGTGGGTATTACAATTTCAACCTCTTAAACAAACACACATACACGAACAAATAAGAAGAAGGGTTGGGGCCTCTAATGTACCCTTCTCTAATGGCTATTGTAATGCCTCAAGTTTTCAATTTTATTTTTTATTTTTTTTGAATCATTGGATTCTACTTAAAATAAGTGACATTTGGATATCTTAAAGTGTCAAAAGTGGGTATTACAATTTCAACCTCTTAAACAAACGCACATACACGAACAAATAAGAAGGAGAAGGCACCGTAGCTCCGCACCTCAACAGTGACAGCGAAAGCAGAGGAGTAACAGCGAGAGACACTGGCTGTACGAACAAGGAGAAGAAAGAAAGAGATGATCCTCATGCACCCACGCCGGCGAGTTCACACACATACAACACACGGAACTAAGGAAGAGAAGTGGAAGATGCGGCATTATGCGTTGTCATAGGGCAGAGAAGGAGCAGAGAATGGTGCACAAGATCCAGCGAACCACGCCACAGAAGCAAACAGCGTTGACGAAGGGAAAGCCGGCGACGAGCTATTGGCAGTGGAAGGAGGAAGATTGATGGAAGGGAAAGGCTGGTGGAGAGAGGCAAAAGGATGAAGCTGATCACACATTTTTCTCTCTCTCTCCAATTGCTCTTCCCCACCCCCCTCTCTCTGTCTCACTTTTTTAATAGGTAGACAAAGGAAATGAAATTCAATCTGGTGGGTTTTTGTTTTAGAGGGGCAGTCTAGTGTTTTCACAATTTAAAAAAAAATAAAATATCTCCCCAACATTATAATTTCGAACTCCATAATCAAAGTAGACATCAAAAACAATTTTCATTAAGCCACAAATTCACTTTGATGTACCTTTTCTACAATATAAATATAAACATATATAATCAAAATAATTCTTCATTAATATTACTGTTATTTTAATTATTATTTTTTTGTCATTATAGTAAGTCGGTAAAATAAAATTGGTGATCTTTTCTTCTTTTTTATTAGTATTAAGTAATGGCATTTCTAAAATTTTGATGTACTTAAGAAAATATAAAATGTTATTTTTGTCACCGCCCAAATTTGAACTGTGAAGCATCAATTAGAAACCCAAAACAAATCTCATTATACTACTAATTCACTTTATTATAACTATCCAATAATTTTATAAAAAGAAAGTTAAAATATTTAGAAGAACAATTTATTATTTTATTTTATTATTTTTTTATGAAAATATGTAATGAGAGGTCTAATTAATCCCCTTTTTTAAAAAATATATTTATTGTATATTTAACAAAATTCTAAATTCATGAGTCATTACAATAAACCACTATGGTTAGTCCACACTGCAAATTAAAGATGTAATTCATACCAAGATAAGGGTTTGAATCGCCTTATGGATGTAGGACCTTTCTAATAAATAATTTATATTTTCATATGCATAAATATAAATAATAAATTAAAATTATATTATTTTGGAAATTTTATTAATTATTTTTTTATGGTATATCTATCATAGACGTAGGACCTGATCAATGGAGTAGTTTCAGTGATCAACTAACAATTAAAAAGCTAACACTCCTGAGTAGTTCTTTAGACAATATCTTTAATGGCTTTGCTATATCCACTTTGGCCATGCTTAGAAGATCTTTTGAGAGCTGGAAGAACTGGAGACGTCAGAACGTTTGCGGAAATAAACCCGCCGATGTTAGCTGCGTCCGGTGATGTCAGAATGTGCAAGAACACCTGCTTGATGACTTTCATGCTGGTCTATTGGTTCCATGCATTCACAAGATTGGTCATGTTTCCATCAGTAAACTAGCATGGAGGGTTGTTAAAAATTCGAACCCAAACATAATCAAACAAGTAGGTTTTAATGGCCGAGCCTAAGAGAGCGTCTGGGAATGTACATTGCGGTGCAGCAGAGAGGATCAACTGCTAGTCCAAGTCCTTTAAAGCTTTAGATAGATCATCCCAATACTGGTTCACGATATCGAAATTGATGCCATGCAAAACCGAGCATCGCTAGGCAGCAATGAACTAGATTGTTGATGGAATATGGATGAGATTTAATCAGTTTTATTTTAGATATTTAGGATTATTCTATTAAGATTGTTTGAATAAGGATATTGAATATCCATTAGATTATTTAGGGTTTAATTAGATTTTCTTTGCATTTTTTATGATTATTTTGGATTTTCTTTATTTCTAATAAATAGGATACCTAAATATATTAATCCAGGTTATCCTTGTTGTTATCTTTTAGGACTATGTTAAAATTTCATTTATTATTATTTTTATATGTTTATAGCTCTATATATAACCTTAGAGTTTCTCAGTTATATTCAAATTAGTTTTGAAGAAATTGATTTGAATATTGAATTGTTCCCTTTATTTCAGTTTCTATTTTCTCTCTAATTCCCACTTTATTGGCGGAGTTGAGGGAGTGACTTCCATGGAGGGAAAGAGAAGAACTTTAATGCTCTTATCTTGGCAAGTTTTGATGTCCGTCCTAAATTTGGTATATGTATTGGCTGTGGCATCACAATGGCCAGCAAGGTTAAGTTTAGGAGTCTTGACCGTTGCCAAAGTCAGACAAGCAAGCTAGGTTGACGCATTTGTAGTTTCCGGTGTTATAGGCATCAGTGAATAAACTTGTTTAACAAAAGCCATGTGATTTTATTTGTGAATCATTGAATGATATCTATTGTAATGAGTATGTTATGGCTCTGCTTGGTGGTTTGAGATAGGAAGTGGTGGATACACTCATAGTGTTTAGGGTGAAGAAAAGTAAAAGAACATGTTTTGCGGGAAAGATTGACTTGCTAGTATAGTAAAATTCCAGGAAACTATTGATTTATGACATTCAAACTAAATAGTCTTCTGAATGCAAAAGACACGGAAGGCAATGATTTCTTACTTCTGATGACCACATTACCTCATTAGCGACTTACACACGCAATTGTTTCTCTACATTAGAACAATGATATTATGGAATTTTGCTTTATACGTAATAATTATTACTACTTTTTAGAATATAAATTGTTTCTTGTAAAATAAGTTTAAATCTTGCTACCATATAATGTGATGATCTTATTAATGAGTAATTTATATAAATACCTTTATGAACAATTTTTAAGCTTGGAAGTTTGCATGGCTTCTAGAAAAATATTAAAACTACTTTCACATGGTTTTCAAAAGTCAAAACATACCTTTATGGTTTATTTGAAGTTCTCATTCTACTTTAGATCACCACCACTAGGAAATGGGTGTTTGGGTTTTAAAAAATTAACATTTCCTACAAAAATCAGACTTTGAAGCCTGGCCTTGAAACAAAGGGCTCGAACAACTTTTTTGGGCCCTTTTTATTTTTTGCCCCTTAAAAATATTAATTTTTAAATTAAATTTAAACTTAAGTCGTTTTAGCACAATCTGTTTAGATTTTAATATATTTTAACCCATATTTTGAACATCCAAACGAGGAACAAATGTGCATCTTATATATTTGGTTTTGCACATATGACTTTATATTGATAGTTTTGGGCAAAATTTCTACTATTTTTTTTCGCATTTTCTATTCTTTATTGATGTTTTTGAAAAGTTTAAAGATGAAAAAAAGAGATAAAAGGGAACAAACCAAATATGAAAAAAAATTAGACAAAAATCAGTCAAATATTTTGTATATTTGTAGGTTTTTTATGTTTATGAGTAGTTAAACACATATGTTCAAATGTTATTTTGAATGCTTGCATGAATTAATTAATACTAACTTTTTCCTATCTTTTTTTTGTGATTAATTATATGTACATGTTTATTTTACTATTCTCTTAATGCTTCTAAGTGATTGGTCATAATTTAGATATTTTGTTCACTAGCTTGAATGTAGATCTTGGATAAAATAGTACAAAAACTTGAGTTTGCATGATGAATAGATGGTTTTGTTAGTAAGATATAGATATATTTTCTAACCTTGTATAGCCACATTAGGGTTGAAACTTAAAAATTGCATTTTGTTAATTGTAACAAGATATTAATTAAGCAATTAATGAAATTAAAAATTTGATCATGATCAATGAGAGAGCTTATTCAAGTATTTTTAGAACCCTAAGTTAGCACTTATTTTTATTAAAAACATTTATAAGAGGATGTAATTTTAGTGTTATGCATTAAATGCAAGGGAAACAAATAATCCAAAGTCCTATTTCATTCTTGATTAGTATAAGAATCATTTGATTTTCCTTATTTTCTAGTTTTAATACAATTGAAGCAACCAATCTTGTCCAACTAATTGTACTTTGCTCAATTTAGTTGAATTTGCAATATCTTTTGCTTGATCACACTTTTAAGATAATGCAAGTCTATGTGAGAATGATACTCTATTCAGATTGCATTAGTTATCATGACCTATGCATTTTCATAGCATAGAACAATTGGATATTTAAATGAGATTGTTAACAAGTTCCTTTTGATGAATTAATAAACTATACACTACTAAAATTACAGGTTTAAGTTTGGTTATAATAAGTCATCATGATGTTAGTGAACTTGGTTCATTTTATATATAACATTTTGCAACATATAATTAATAGTACTAATGGCTTAGTGGTTCAAATCCCCTAGTCACTTTTAAGTAATTATTTTGTTAGCCAATGGCTGGAGCTCTAGCTGGTGATGGTCTAACCTGTAGAGCTCTCTAGTAGTGGCAATAGTGATGGTTGGGGTACTTTTAAATTTTAAAGGAGGGTTTTTTTGTCATTTCTTAAGGACAAGACTTGGATACTTAACCTTACATATTGAATGTGCCTTTATATAATTAAATTAAAACAAATAGATTTTAATGTTGTAATAATATTAATAACAAGAGTTTATTATAGATATATATATATATATAATATAAATTATCCACATATCTTAATTTGATTGGAAAAAAGCACCTTAAATATATATAAGGCTAAATATATAATTTTCCATTCAATTTAATCCCTTGGTTGTGCAATGTGATTTCAGAGTTCAGTGGTCCTGAGTTTAAATTATTTATCTATTGTGATCATTTACTAAAATATTTTTAACTCATTTTTTGTAATTGTCATTAAATTAAGTTTTTAAGATGTAACTGTTATTTTCCTATAAACATGTACAGTAGAAGCAAATCCTCAAAATATTCTTACATGGACCAAATGCACCATGTCATCCATGCTCTACCTAATAAAATTTCACTATTTCAATCAAATAAAATATTATGTGATTATTTTTAATAATTTTATTTTTGTAATAGTGTGTTTCTTTAATTTCTTTTATTTTTTCTCTCCACTATTATCAAATGCAAAGTCAATTTATATTTATAGCCATTTGACATGACATTTTTACTGGAAAATATATAAATGATGTAGTGCATTGGGTTTATATAAAAATTTCTTACAAATTCTCCCTAGCAAAATTGGGAAGAAGAATATAATCGCAACGCCGATAACTTTTTTTTTTTTTGGGTATAGTGATTCAATTAAAATGACTATATTGTCATTTAACTTTTTTCTTATATTTTTATTGTTTAACATATTATATTGTATAATTGAAAAGAAATTTAGAAATAGAAAAAATATATTTTTGTGTCAACTTAGTCTTTTATCGAGGAAGAATAATCTCTCGTTTAATTTTGTCACTAAATTAAATTTTTCTAGGTGTGGATGGATGGACATTTTTCTAAGTTTAAAGCTAATATAATTGTTTTGTTTTTTGGATAACATCTTTAAAAACTTAAGTATATAGACCCCTACATGTCATTAATCAAAAGGCTCGCAATCCATGTAATACAGGTACAACTCATGAAAATAAAAACGAACAGGTTTTACAAATTCACAACTCACAGTTTTTATTAAATGTTTAGAAGAATATATCATCATCCTTTCTCACAAGGTATTAGGTATATCCAACATTTTCTTTAGGGATAGTGGAGGAATGAAGGATAGACAACAACACCAATTGCAAAATAGATTTAATATTATTATTTTTTAACTTGACTTCTTTGCACAAATAGGTCCTTGATCTTGTTCAACGATGCTACAACATCTAACATATTGCAACATTCTGTTGGAAAATCGGAGCAGCAAGTCAAGGCCAATTTGAAAATAGTAGATGTAGTTGTCAAAATATTGCCAACATATTGTTCATCTCCTTATAATAAATTGGAATCCATGACTTGAATCAATGAATGTGACAATGATTCACTTATCCAAGTTTTTAAGCTTAATCCATCGACAAACATACCTTCTGTTGGCTTTTTCCTTGTGAACACTTCCATTACTATTATTCCATAGCTATACACATCAACTTTTGTTGAAACAATTCCATCAAATCCATATTATGCATGTGATATAATTTAATTCAACCAAAGTCAAATATCAAGTAACCTGTATATGATAAAATAAGAACTAACTAATAGCACAAATTCCTTTACATTTCTTGAAGCATTCTTTAGAATTTCTTGGAGATATATATATATATATATATATAATAGGTTTAAAATAACAATCAAACAGTAATTTAAATGTATGATTTTTAGAACATAAAAACTGTCAGAAAACATTCCCATCAAATACAATATATGGGATATATTTTTGACAGGAATATATATCTCTAATTCTTATATACACTATATTAAAACTACTTACTACATTGATGAACATGAGCCCACATACATTTTTTTTGGCCGAACACAACGACATACATTAAAACACACCATCACATTCATGTTTGAAAGTAAAACAAAGAATTCAACATAAGTATACTAAATTAGTTAAAAAAGTATAGTTCTTTTTTTAATATAAAAAGGCCATCAAAATTGTAAGGAAATAGCCAATAAAAATTTTATATAAGAATTAGGGAAATTAGATTCAATTGCGATTATTTTTCACTGATAACTTTAATAATGTGCTGTAGTTCGTCAATTCAACTTCTCATGTATAAGAACATAATGTTTTGTAAACAAGTGCATCATTTCATATAAATAATAACTAATTTATTTTTTCTCTAATTTCATTCGATTTTGCTAATATGAAAGACAAGAGACAATATATGTATATTATTGTAGTAACACCAATTTAAATGGGGTTTTGTAAAAGAAGAATAATAAAGATTTAAGTTGATTACCTGGTGCAATATAACCGATGGTAGATATTGTCTCTGTGTGCGTCTTAGAATTCCCTTTATCTAAAAATTTGGCAATTCTAAAGCCACTCACATGGGCAACCATATTATCATCCAACAAAATGTTACTTGGTTTCAAATCACAATGGACTACTAGTGTTGACAAGTCATGATGAAGATATTCTAAAGCAGATGCTACATTTATCATTATATTCAACCTTTGTAAGAAATCCAAATGATAGTCATCAAAATATAACCATTTTTCAAGGCTTCCATTAGGAATGAACTCCATTATCAAACACTTCAAATCGGCATTGGAACAACTACTAATGATCTTCACCAGATTTCGATGGTGCAAATTACGCATTGCATCGCATTCTACCTCAAAGCTCCTTGACAACACTTTTGAGTCAAAATTGAATATTTTAACAGCAATCATTATTCCACTTGAAAGTTTTCCTTTGAACACAGAACCAAAACTTCCCCTTTCAAGTAAGTTACTCTCATCAAATCTATGAGTTGCACCTAAAATTTCAAAATAAGAAATCTTTCTTGGCATTCCTAAAGTAGATAAAACTTTTTTAATGGTATGCCTAGAATTTATTCACTTTTGTTGAAAGAGCACAATTCCTGTAGCAATTAAAGCTATTGACAAAGCCATTGACAACACCTATTTCAACAAAATCAATTTTTCCATTGACCTTTTACCTGTTCCTTTTTTGCATGGAGACACTTGCATTTGTGGCTCACCACAAAGTTCTTTATTCATCATGAAAGATTCAAATGTTAAATTTTTGAAGACTCCGCCACTTGGAATCTCACCCTGTAGTTCATTAAAAGAGAGATTAACGTACACAAGGGATATAAGTGACTCCAGAGATTTAGGAATCTCACCAATCAGTTGATTTTGGGAAAGGTCTAACTTTACTAAGCTTAGCAAATTCTCAAGTGATTCAGGAATCTTCCCATGCAATTTGTTATGTGCCAATGAGAGAATTTGTAAATTTTGCAAGCCACCTATGGTTGATGGAATGATGCCTGATATACAATTTCTTGACAAATCCAATGATATAAGTTCTTTCAAGTTACTAATCTTGAATGATAGATTTCCAACTAAAACATTGGAAGAAAGGTTTACTTCCAATATACCAGTTAGATTCCAAAAGGAAGAAGGTATCTCAGAAATCAACTTATTGGAGTCTAAGTAAAGTTTTTGCAAGGACATAAGATTTCCTAAGCAAGGTGGCATTGCTCCAGAAAACTTGTTTCGAGATAAATGTAGATAGGTGAGTCTTCTAATTTCACAAAGCTCATCAACATTCAAGCCACCTAGCTCATTGCCTTCAAGATTCAAATCTTGAAGAGCCTGTATGTTGCCAATTGCTTTTGGTATTGATCCATGTAAAAAATTTTTAGCTAATGATAGCTGGAACAAGTTAGATAGATTCCCAATTTCTGATGGTATGTTACCATTAATCCTGCACGAGTCTACAAGTAGCACCTGTAGAGAATTAGACAAGTTTCCAATGGACTTGGGAAGTTTCATATGCAGTGGATTTGTTGAGAGAATCAAACTTTTCAAATGTCTACAATTTGACAATGAATTGAAAAAGCTAGTTTCAGAATCAAAACTATCCATAATGGTAAAATTATTATCACTTACTAAAAGGGTTTCTAAGTATCTTAAATGCCCAAGTGTGTTTGGAAAAACCCCTTCAAAATTATTGTCCTCCAATTCTAGAGTGGTTAGCTTAGAAGCATTGGATTTAGTATTTGGGATTTTTCCAGAAAGTTTGTTGCCCCACAGATAAAGTATTTGTAGATTAGAAAGGCCAAATCTAAAATTTGATGGAAGACTTCCTGATAGAGAATTGTTTGAAAGAGACAAGACCTCCAAAGTTGACATGTTGAAAATTTCTGATGGAATAAACCCTCTCAATTCGTTTTGAGACAATTCTAATATCTCAAGCTGTTGAAGATTACCAATTTCCATAGGTATTGATCCTATAACACAAATATTAATTGAAGTATCAATGAAAGTTAATATTAAAATATAAACAAAATTATAAATGTCTAACTACTTAGATTTACCCACAAATTTTCAAGAAATTTGTGATGAATTTGGGCTAAAAACTTATAAGTACGCTTTGATCCGTCAACTATTTTAGTGGTCAGAATTTTGTGATAAATTTCACATTTTTTATGTCTAAAATAAATGTTCTTGTAGGCTTTTTTTTTAGTGGTAGATGATGAGTTTTTAGTTTGTTGGCCTGAGCTTCTAAAATTATTTTTAATTTATACTATTACAAACCTAAATAGTCAGTTACATCATGGTTTTAACAATTGGTCCATACTAGCCGATTGGATGTGAACTAGCCTGTGGTCAAGTCTAGAATAAATCATTAAATCTTATGTGTAGCGAACTAGTAAAAAAATTTTCAACAAATTAGGGGAACATGAAAAACATGTTGGTTGGTTGATTCACTAGTTCAAGAATCAGATCTAAACAGAAAAATAATAGACGGGGAGAGGTTCAGAGAGAAGTTGAAAATCATGAGGGGAATGAAAATGCATGATTGAAAGAAAAAAATTAAAAAGAAGTCATTATACAATATAAAATATCACATTAAAAGAAACTGATGGTAGTACATTATATTTTGGTGAAAATGTACCTTCTAAATTATTGCTACAAAGATACAACTGTTGAAGCACAGTCAAGTTTCCAATGCCTCTTGGTATGGGGCCAGATAGCTGATTAACCCTTAGGCTCATCATCTTCAGATTTGCAAGACTTATAATTTCATTGGGAATATTTCCTGCAGACAGGAAAAAAAAAATAACAATGCATCATTGTAAGTAAAAAGAGCAACACTTAAATTTGTGGTAATGCATACTTTCTATGTTATTTGAAGTTATTTTGTGTTTTAAAGTTAGTGGTCTAAATTGAAATAAGCTTATATATGTCAGAAGCATGATTGTCCTCATATATAGATTTACATATTCAACATATGAGCAAACATTTAAAATCATCAATAAAATTATGATATATATATATATATATATTGTTCTATGTTTTGAAAACAATTTAGTCTATATTAGCGTATTTTTTTTTTATTTTGATGAATTATATTTCTTGATAAATTAACAAGTTTAATAAGGGGTAGCGATTTTTTTTAACTTTTCATAGAAAAATTACATTTTAAATAATAAGAAGCTTGTTTAAATGATAATAAAGGATAATTCCCATTAATTATATAGGGTTTTGAATTGCTACGTACCAATCCCAAAGTATAATGTGCGGTTGAAATATATTTTTAATTAAGAAAATTAAGTTAGTGAATATTTGATATAGTCTGTTAAATTTGTAGTACAAGTTGTGAAAGCTTTGGGTCGTAATCTAAATAAAAAAATAAAAAAATAGTCAATTTTTCAATTCCTTGAGTATATGTATATATTCACCATACTTGTTTAAGGTTAATTAATGCTCAGAAACTTATTATCATCATCTGTGTTTATAAATTTTGGATTTGAGAGAATCTCTATGTTTGTTGTAAAGAAATACTTTCTTTAGCAATGTGGTAAACCAAAAAAAAAAAAATTAACTCTATTTTGATTGCTCGTGCATAAAATATCATATTAACAGAAAATTAAGCAGAACAACCCTTTAATTTTATAAAAGTATTTATATACCTTCTGAGTGATTGTTATCCAGAAATAACTCTTGAAGCCTAGTGAACTTGCCAATGCCTCTTGGCATGTGACCAGACAATTGATTAGCACTTAAGTATATGCTGCTCAAATTTGTAAGATTGCTTATTTCATTCGGAATATTTCCTGCAATATTGCAACACAATAAAATCATAATGCTATGAATTTTGTTACAAAAAATTAAACATTCTAATTCCACACGTCTCACCTCCCACAATATTACTTTTATTTTTTGGAAACAAATTTGATATAGTCTATTGAGTGTGTGTATATATATACTTGGTTTAATAATTTACAAAGAATAATTTTAATTTAAAAACCTAAAATAGAATGAACTCTTATGAATTTGTTTTATAATTTTTAAGAATCCTTGTAAAAATGAAGTTATGAAATTAAAGTTGGAGATTTAATTTGGAGTCCATTTGTTTGATCTTCCTTTTACGAGATGATCACTTATTTTTTATGAAAAATTATTTTGTGAAATTTTGTGATATTAGCTTAAACTTTTGAAAGTAATCAAAATAAAAAAAAAACATATTTCTAAGTTTTGACTAATTTGAAAAGCTACTTTGAATAGTTTCTGAAAAGGAAAAATTTTATTTACTTAGCGTTATATGTTATGGTGTTTATTTCCAATTAAATGATTCTAAAATAATTTTTTGTTATTAATATTACTAAAACATTAAATTTCACTTGTTTTAATTTGATTGGATTTAAGTACTATATATTAAATATATAAGGCTAAGTATGTTAGTCTTGCCTGTTTAAAATAACTAAATAATAATTTTTTATGGATAGAGATCCATGAAGATATCATAAAATTTAAAAATAACTAAATAATAATCACTTTTCATTACTGTTATCAAACATAAAATAATATATGCTTTTTATAAAATATCTACAACACAAATCACTTTTTTATTAAAAAAAATGTCTAAATGATATAAAACTCACTTATTTTTTCATCATAAACAAATGGGTCCTTGATTTATTTTGTAGTATAGACTTATGAAAATATGTTGTCTTCTAAATGTAACCATTGAAATCGTCAATTTGACATATATTTGAAGGGATGCTCCTCCAAAAATTTTGGTCACTCAAAAAAGTTGTTTATAATGATTCCCATTAAAAATAAAGGAAAAATTATATATAAGTCTTATAGACCAAACTTATTTACAAGTAAGTCCCGCAAAGTTTAAAAATCATAGCTAGGTCCCTTAGGACTTAAGTATAATTTGAAACTAGGGTGGAAAATCAATAATATCCATATTAAAAATACATTACATCGACTGAGTAATTTACAATTATGTCATTAGTAATTTACAACTATCACTTCAACGTTTTACAACTGTAATTTCACATATCTAATAATTAAATTGATCATGCATGATAAGTTTAATACTAATTATATATAATACCTTATTAGTAATTTACAATTATCGTATTAATATTTTACAACTATAACTTCACATATCTAATAGTTATACTGATCATATGTTACCAATAAAATTCAACATTAATTGTTTACAATTATTTCAGCAATAATGTATAACTATCACTTTAACTTTTTACAACTGTAATTTCATATATTCAATAATTAAACTGATCATGTATTACAAGTAAGGGTAATAGTATCTGTATACCTTAATTTTAAATTACACTCAGATCTCAAGGACTATGACTGTAGTTTCTAAATTACGTAGGGCTTATTTGTAAAATAAGTCTACTCCACAGGATGTAGTTGTCCCAAAAATAAAAGCAAACAATAGTTAAAAAAAAGTTATGATTTGTTAAAAATGTACCTTGGAGGTCATTGCTTGCGAGATATAAATTTTCAAGCATGACCAAATTTCCAATGCTCGGTACTTGCCCAGACAACTTATTCATACCCATGTACATATTTTTCAGATTTGTAAGCTTATTCATTTCTTTGGGAATATGTCCTGCAATATGGCCACAAAATCACCTCGTACTTTTTTCATGAATGCTCATATAAAAAATAATATTAAACGAAAGAGTAAGACATATAATTCTGGGAATGCATTATCGTTGTATCTCATACATGTATTCAATAATTTGATGTCTAGTCAATATTACCAGCTAGATAATAATATACAAATATACAATAATACATGCATCAACTTATGACAATTGAAAAGTAGAAAAGGAATTCCAAAAATTATAGCGTAAAAAAAAGTGCCTCGTTGAAAGAGAATTCCCACTAACATTTAATTAAATACTTAAACAAAAATATTTTGTCAGAGATAACTCATTCAAGGAATAATTTTTAAAGAATAGTGAAATTTGTTCTAGTGATGATAGCTTAACTATAGAAGTATAGTTAATGTGTTTCATGTAATTGTAAAATGTTTGTGAATTTTCGATTCAAGGTCTAATTTTGAGAAGACATAGTAAATAGCATACCCCAAGGTAGATTGATATCAAATATATGACTGATATAAACAATTACGAAAAAAAAAAGATAAATTCTTCAATTTTGAGATAGAATAAATGTTTATATAATCATATATATATATATATATATATTATACAAGACATACCTTCTAAGAAGTTGACAGAAAAAGAGATGTGCTCAAGTGATGATAAGTTAGAGATAATTGGAGGTATACTTCCTGAAAGCATGTTTCGAGAAATGCTTAAAAATTTCAGGTGTTGAAGTCTTCCAATATCCACCGGAATAGATCCATTGATAGAATTAGACTTCAAATCCAAGGTCTCCAACTTAGACAAATTCCATATGCTTGGAGGAATGAGACCTCCAAAACTATTATTGCTAAGACTCAAGTGTTGAAGCATAAACAAGCTTCCAATCCAAGTCAGAATTTCTCCGCTAAAAGTATTATAACTCAAGTTTAGAATTTTCAATTTGTGCAATTGAAGCAACTCTTTTGGCAACCCACCATGAAAGTTGTTGCTCTGTAGTTCAAGTTTTTCTAGGAAGGATAGATTTCCAATTTGTAAGGGTAAGGTGCCCTCAAGACCTATCTCAGGAACACTTAGGATTCTCACTCTCTCATTGTTAGAATCGCATGTGACTCCGAACCACTTGCAGTAGGAAGATGATGAGTTGGACCAATTCTTCAAGTGATTATAAGGGTCTCTAACAGAAGATCTGAAAGCAAGAAGTGCCAATCCGTCGAGGGTAAAACTGGAATAACATAAAGATTGGCAAACCATGAGACAAAGCATGGAGAAAATGGAGAAGGAGAAATGAAAGCAAAGATTTCCCATGTTGAATAGGGTCAGAGCTTCTTGGGTTGAAGAAAAAGAAGACAGCTTCACTATATATAAGCTTCACTACAATAGCTAATAATAATGAACAAAATAATATGCAAAAGCTGTTTTGTAATGGAGAAAAATAGAAGGATATGTTAGAATATTAGTGAATTTACTTGACCCAAAAACTTGAAAATTAGATCCCATTCAAATTTCCCTATAATTATTTCCCGTTGATTTAATGCTAATATATGTGGCAAACTTGTGCTCTTTTTTTTCCTAGAAAATTGCATGCCTATGTATTCACAAATACAAAATAGGTTATTATTAAAATGGAAACTTAGACTTGTTTTTCTCTCAAATGGTGACTTGTTAATGATCCTTGTTTGAGAATAACATCGTTCACAAGTCCTTAAATGCAATTCTCTCTGTTTTTTTTATTAATTACACTTGAGATGATAATAAGTTGGCGACTAATTAGTATTGAATCCAAAATTTTATATAAATTATAAAACAAAAGCCTATCAAAAGCTTGACTTAAACAAGTTATCCAAAAAAAAAAAATTTCTTGACTTAGACAATTGAGAAATAAGAAAGATAAGTTTGTGGAAAAAAACAGAAATGTAGTTGTGAGTTGCATTCATCAATGAAATTTCGCATTGGAAAAGGAATAGTGGTGTGGTCTTCAATAATAATGTTCTTTAGAATTTTTCTTTCTTGAGGTAACTCTGTCTCTATTTCAAAATTTACCTTTGTCACTATTCACTGTAGTAGATTATTGTTTGAGAGATCAATCAAGTAATAAAATTTTTAAATGAAGTTATTAAATTTTTATATTTTTATAAACAAAGTTTATAGGGAAATGACACTTAGATCCTAAAATTGTAGAAGATCAACTAAATTATAGTTAAATTTACAAAATTTTAATGAAATATGATTTTGGTGAAGTTGTATATCTATACTTCTCATTCTCATCTGTAAGTTGCTACCATAATTTTCAAGGTCAAGGAAAAAAAAATGAAACTTGAAAGGAGCTAATTGTTATCCTAAAAAAAATTCAAAAACAAAGGAAAAAAATAGGGAGAATGATAATTAAGGACCCTTAAAAAGTATGAAGAACCTTTAACAACTGAAACGTCAAGAATTTACAAATGAAACTTTAGAAGTTATAGTTGTTAATCAAAGTAAAACTCTATTTCCTTGAGCCTTAAGCTTGCACCAATCACCAATGTCATAAGTCGGAATGTTAAGTCCATTAAATTATAGGAGAGATTTTGACCAAACCTCAACTAAGGGCAATTTTTCCTATAAGAAACACACAATGAAACTCACATAGGTGATGGCTCCAACCAGGTGGGCTCCATTAGTTGTGGATATCTTCATGATGGACAGCCCATCCTTGATCAAAGAAAAAGAAATTGAGTGACTAGGAACATTGGATGGCAATATTAGTCAAAGTTTGATAGGTAAAAAAGTATTTATGCTTTTTCCATACGTTCTAATATTCAAGTCAATGCATGCCTATTCTAATGTAAGTCTATTCAATTATAGGAGAGACTTTGACCAAACCTTAACTAGGGACAACTTTTCCTACGGGAAATATGCAATGAAACTCACCTAGGTGATGGCTCCAACCAGGTGGGCTCCATTAGTTGTGGATATCTTCATAATGGACAGCCCACCTTGATCAAAGAAAAAGAAATTGAGTGATTAGGAAAATTAGGCGGCAATATTATTCAAAGTTTGTTAGGCAAAAATGTATTTTCTAGAAAGTATTTATTCATTTTCCATACGTTCTAATATTCAAGTCAATGCATGCCTATTCTAATGTCACAATTATGCTTGCCTTTAGAACAAGACTATTGAAATTTAGTGAATTTAGACATTATATAAATTATAATTAATTATATTAATCAAATTTTTTATAATCAATTACACCAAAACATTCACCATTCAAAAACTATTAGCAATCCAATAACAACATATTAATTATAAGCAAACAACTTTGAATAAAGACAAGTACCACTCTCAACCTAGAAAAATAATATATTTACATTTAAAATGTTTAAGCACAAAATAAGATAATTGTTTAGTAATATAACAAAACAATCCATTTCTATACAGATCTTAAAAAACCTACAATTAACATTCTTTCTAGAATATCAAACTCCCTGGTTCCATCATCATTCTGTCATATATTTCTACAAAAGAATAGGCTCAAATATCTTTAAATTTGAACTCTATCTATATTCATGTAGTTTCAGGCTTTGCTATCAAGATTGCAGCAACTAATGAAAATGACCAAGTAACTCTTGAGCTTCTTACAAAGCAAAAAAAAAAAAAAAACCTCGGTGCTTGCCTACTTAGCTTTCTTTCTCTTCAGCTTCTTGGCCTATAAAACATGTAATAATAGATCGTTATGTGAATTATCTAATAATCCATCTATAATGACAAAGAAGAAAAATTTAGACAAAAAATAGCCCATTAAGAGCCTTGTGGTTGACAACTTCTTCCTTTTTTATTGAACAAAAAACTTCTTACTTATGGAAGATGAAGTCTGCTATTCAATCTTAACCAATGTTTGTATGCTCCTCCTCTTTACCCTATTCCTTTTTGTTAACAATATCTTAAACTTCTTTCTAGAATCGATAATGTATTTAACTATGGATTCATCAAATATGTCATCATCATCATCTAATATAGATAAGGTTATAAAAATCTATAGACAAAAATTTTAATAACCAATTCAAATAGCAAAAGACAGGAACCTATAGAAGGAAGAAAACAAATCATATTGGTTTGGATTATAGCTGCGAATAATACAAAATCATAAGAATTACTGTGTCATAGTTTCAAATGTTAATCCATCATGCCTACATAGCAAGCCAACAATTAACTTTAAAAAAAAAAGCCAACCACAGTAAAAAGACAATAATAATCTTTGAAGAATCTAAGATAGTTAGAAGGAATTGAAATTTCTTTTGTGTTAGACTTAAGAATCCAAGGTACAATTCTGGCTAAAATAAGGTCATTTCACTTGACACACATAGAACTCTTTTTAAGCTAATTGAGTTCCCTATCTGTGCATTAGAGTGCTACATCTCTTTTTTTCAACAAAAGCTAACTTCCTTAACTTAGAGAGAGACAGAGATAGAGGAGTCCTTAGCAATAAACCATAGCTATTTAATAGGTTCAAGAATGTCTGAAAGTTAATTTGTCATTTGTATCTCACAAAAGAATAGTTCTTGTGGAGCACATTGTTTTCCTCTTAAAAATTGTCATTGGAAGAAGTCATACTCATGTGAGAAAGGCATAAAGTGGTAGAAATATATATCCATACTTGAAAAGATTAGAAGGACAAAAGATGGATATTCATTGAACCATACACCTAAAATATATAATCAAACATCGACTATCATTATTGTTTCAATATAATCATTCAAATGAATGCAGAGGGAGCGGCTATGAAAGACAGAGAGATAGCACCACTAAATTACTTGCCCCAGTTACCTAAGAATGGTCCTGCACCTGCTGCCATTGCTTCTTTACCCTCTTCAGTAAATCCATTTGCAATAGTTCTAGTCCCAACCACTAATACACACCTATGAAGTTTGCGCATTGTTCCACCTGTCAGAGCAGCTAAAGCATCCTTCTAAACACAGCCTCATATGGCTTAGGAATATATCTTTGAAACAGCAAGGCCAAAACATATTGAAATTAAGAGAGATTCAGACTTACTCCTATTTATAAGAGAATAAATAAACTACTATGGCACTATGCAAGAAGAAAAAATTTTAAAAATTGCACCAGTAGAATACATAAACAAATTGAAATTTAATTAGCACTATATAATAAGTGAAGAAGCTTCCTTATACTATAATGTCACCGCACTTTCATTACCTAAACTCATTAAAACATTGTGAAAATAATATCCAACATTATTCAATCAAACTTACACAAAGTACTATAGAGTAAAACATTAATCAGGAAGCTAAAGGATAAGTGATTTTTATTATCAATCCACCATTCAAAAATGAAGACTGCTACAATTGATATTTATGGCCGCACTCAATAGTTAGCCTATATTGTTTTACTCCATAGTATAAGGAACTAAATCCTAGAACTCCATATCCAAATAATAAAAAGATGCTTCTTTAAAAATACCATTCACTTTTAGTAAAAAAGAAATATGAGGAACATGAGCATATAGCATCCATGGTCTATGCTTTTTATTTGCATCGCTATTGTACCTTGATTATTATGATAACATATAGTCTGATAGTAAGGCCACACAAAGATACTTATATAACTTTAAATGCATACATGTAAATTTTTTCTTAATCTACAAGAGTTTCCTAAATCCATAAAACACTTTAATGGGTTTCACTACAAATAATTTTTAACTTAATCCACAAAGCATTCTTAAAAACTAAATAGATGTTTTTTTAAAAACCATACTTTATATAGAAATATCACATGATTATCGCAAGGTAGCTCTAATTTAAATTTTGTTGTAGAATATAGGGTCCATGAAAAAATTTTACAAGAGGCAAAAGGTCAAGTAAGGGAAAAAAGAGAGGAGAACTATCAGACAACTTGTTTTCCCTTTACTTGCATTCTTTGTCAATCTCAAGGCATTCTTCATGCATATTTATACTTAGGTAATCCTTCAAACTATCTTCAGTGACCCTATAACTTCCTACAAATGTAGATAGATTTCTTTTAGTGACCATAAACAATAACAAACAATGCATGCACATGTATGTACAAGAAACACAGACTATCTATGGATTGCCTAATTAATAGTGTTTCCATCATGTGTGTTAAGATGTCTTTTGATAGAGTAAATGGTGTAAAAGTAGACTGTTGAAGCAGAAGCTTCATGACAAGGATTATATAGCCCCCATCTTAATATTCTAAAGAGTGTAGGAAAAACAAATTAAGACAATTCTCAACTCATTGGATTTAGTAGTTTTCATTCCACAGCAGGACTAGAAAAAGAGGCAAGTAATCATAGATAAAAAATTTGTTAAAAAATCTCTTACAGGACGCTTCCAAACCAATTTAGGCATTCAATGACATTCCTAAATATGTGAGAGATTACCTAAATTAATCTTCACCTCGATGAAGCCTGCCTTCCTTATTCTATCCACAAAATCCTTGCCTTCAATCAGATTATAGTGATCAAAAAGGTTGAAAACTGTTTTAATGTCATAATACTTTGAAGCATATAGAAGCAACACATTGGCTCTTGCGTCCAAGTATGACAACAATTAGTAATGGTTCCAATAAGCCTACAATACCTCATTCACAATGTGGCAAGTTGTAGGGCAAAAGACAATAAGCTAATAAACACAAGACATGGATGAGTAGCCCATATTTTGCTTACCTTCACCAGGGTAAGCTTTTTTACATTTGTGTGACATTGATGTCAATGCACGAACTTTATTTCTTTAACCTGGAAGGGGTTAGAGAAAATCATGGGAGTTTATTCTTATATTTCAACATGCTAAGTTCTCACTGTCCACTTTGGACATCTCTTTTACATGCTTGACTTATTTGCTCCTTATCTAGTAATGCAATCAAATAAAAATGCACTTGGCTGAAAGTTTTATTGAGTTTCACAAAGGGTTGCAGTCATGTCTCAAGAAATAACTGTCACGTCCCGAAAAATGAGAGTGACCGGCACGGAATGTGAATCATATCACACATTTCTTAAGCCCTAAAAAGATTCCTATTACTAAAACATAATTATGTTTATATTAAATTATAACATGCATGATCATTTTCATAGAAACTTCCTTATTCTTGTAGAAATTTCGGCAGAACTTCCCTTGTAAATAGGGCCATCCTAAAAATTTTACAACAAAATGTTCAATAAAAAAAATCACAATAACCATTAGCTTTGCTCCTTCTAGCCAATAGACAAAGTATATAACAAAATAAGGACCCTAACTATAGTCTACGTGGAACACCTAATTACATTTTTCATGACATAATACATAAATTTATATTTACATCAATAAAAATATATATTTACAGAACAAATCTCCACCCACCTTAGCAAGACGTACAGCATCAACTATACTATCTAAGACCAAAATAACTTTTCAATGCATAACATCCCAACCATAACATTTTGTAGAATCAAAATGAATAAAATACGATAGTTATATAAATTAGATGAGAAAGCAATTCTATATAAATAAATTTATAAACTTGAAATAAAAATTTTATATAACTTCAATAATAAGAATATTAAAATTTATAATGACAAAGTAGCTTTAACATTTAATCTTGACAAATTAAGATGATTAAATAATATATAAGAATAGCAATCATTACTAATTGAAAACCATTAAATGTGAAATCACCAATTAATTAAAAATTCATATTTTTGGGGGTTTATCAAAACAATTCACAAACGTGGACACACAGTCCACGAGGATTACCAAACACGGCTCATGCCATGAAAACAAATATGGACACACAGTCCACGAGAGTAATTAACCAAATGTAGCCGAAGCTATGAAACAAATGTGGACACACAGTCCACAAGGGTACGTAACCAAACACAGTCAAAGTCACGAAACGAATGTGAGTGCGATGCTCACGAATAACTATCCCTCCGTTCCACGTGTGCTGGCCATTGCACAGGGCAAACACCTTCTCTACACACCCTGCTAGCTAGGTGTACCATGGCGTGCTAAGGGCTAACGAAACTGCCGTTAGCAACCAGTGTTCTGTATAAAGTTCCCTGAAAATTTATTTTCAAACATGCGAGAAAATTATCACTTTCAAAATAAACTTTTCTCTTCTCAATATCAAACTCGCATGAACTGTTTAAAATATCAATCCTTTAAAATATGAAAATTCATAACTAATGTTCCGTAAACTTTTGCACGCATTTCCATGATTGTCTTTATTGAATAAAAGAGTATTAGAATTTATAAAAGCATTTCTGCCAAACTCATAAGTAAAAATCATGAAAACTTCAAGAGATAAAGAAATTTAATCAACAACATTAAACAATGCTAGAGTGGTATATATTAATGATTGTAAATTATTAAAAATAATAGTTGATAAAAGAAAATTTTCAAATATATATAAGTTGATTGCGACGTTATCCACTTACCTGTAATACTCCAAATGTTCAAAATTGACTACTTTCAACCTCAACCGAGTTTGTTTTCTTCCAAACATCCTATAAAAATAATAAGGTGATCTATATAAACTTTCCATAAGTTCGATAAACCCTCTTCTAACATTAACACAACCAATATTTAATCCAAATAATTCAATGTTCCCGACAGCATCATTTATATCACAAAGTTTCCTATAGTTAATTGTTAATTAAGAGTGTGTGTCAGACCACTAGCAAATACTCTATCGATCCATCATTCATATATTACTCACTGTGTTGAATACCTTAGGTACATCCCCAAATTTAAGTCTTATAGCAATACTTTAGCTTATAATCATCAACCATGAGAACTTCACCATACTTCTATCACTTATCTTGTCTAACACCTTAAAATGCATTCTTACAACCAAATGATAAAACAATACCATAGTTATAGATTATCCTCACATAAAATTTCTGAAGATTTCACTAACCACAAAATACCTTAAAATCAAGCTCTTTAATTTGTAATGTTCAAGTTAAAATTCAACCAAATAGAATTTAACTTCTTACCATAATTAATAGGATTTCATAAAATGCATAACCAAGCAAAACTCTTCTAATGGAAATTCCATCAAACACCTTAAGGACACTAATCCTCAAACTAATACCAAGCTTGTTCCTATCCACTTCCATTCCCATAAATTCTTTAATATCAATATTGAAATAAATCAACCTCCCAAGTTTTATTTCTTCTATAGATCAATCAACTTTAACTAACATAAAATAAAATAAATCCTCCCTTCCCAAATTTGTCTCAGCAGCAAGAAAAGGAAGAAGAATCAGTTTCTATCATTTAAACACACCTACGCAAAACAAACAAGGAGCAAGGAGGGGAACAGGACATACTTGCATCAGACAGAAGCAAAAGAATGGCAATGGTGGTACAGGGGATGAGAGAGAGCCACCATTCGAACCCCCTATAGCAACACACTAACTCCCATACCAACTTCAGTCTTTAAACATGGGAAACGAAGCTTCTGAGCTTACTTATGGCAGCATTAACAGCTGCAACAACGAAGCAGGAGGCAGCTCAGGAGGCTACAGATCAAGGTTCGAACAAATCTGCAATGAAGAAATAGAGGAAGAAGACCTTGAAGCATCCATATAGCAGCATGGACAGAACCCACAAACCTGTCGACGTCGAGCTGACCAGCAGAGGAGGAAGGATCGAGAACGCCAGTGGACACGATCACTGGGATAGGAGAAGAGCAGAGGCAGTGGATTTTTTTCTAGATATCTCTCTCTCTCTCGTCTGGTGTGTTTTCCAAAGTGAGATGAGAAAGAGAAATAAAAATTTGATCTAAGAAGAATGGAAAAAATTACAATAAAAGGCATAAGAAAAAATTACAAGAAACTACACAAAAAAATTACAAAAAGGGCACACATTATTTTTCCTATAATTAAAAAAAAAAACAAAATAAAACTGAACTTTTGTTTAATAAAATTCAAACTCTAGGCCTTTAACAAAATTACTTGTAAGAGTTCTAATAATTAACCATTATCTACTTAATATAAAATTAATTTAAAATTTAGGGTCATTACAATAACAGTCATATTGAAATTCTTATAATCAATTATAATTAAAAGATAAATGATGATAACTCAATCATCTAAATTTTATTACAAAGATGTTTTCCGTTGTCTATTCTTATTTGTAGAAATACATAAGCATGTATGGAGGACAAATATAAACAAACCTTTACTATGGCCAATAATTGCAATAACTTTTCAATTTGCTTCATGGAAATGTTGGATCACTGCATGCAAATCGTCAACCTCTTTACAATAGTTGCCAAAACCAAATGAACCTTCATTTTCCCCAGAAAGAAGCAACAAAGTCAAAATGAAATGGTATGAAAAAAGACTAACAGTGAGGATGAAATGAATAAACCACAAAAGACAGATTTGACTTGTCACGCCCCAAAAATAGGGGTGACCGGCATGGGATGTGAACCACATCATACATCCCGTAAACCACAAATTTAAGGTTTATTTCATTTAATTAAAATGTATTCAGTTTTATACTGGCATTTTAATACTATTGATATTAATCATTATAATAATTATTTTAATGTAAAAATTTTGATAGAACCTCCTCTAAAAATAGGATCTGGCAAAAATTCTGTATCACAAAAATTTTCCTTAAACATTATATCCATTAAGAGCTCGGCTCCTTCTAGCCAACAGACAAAATGTATAATAAATTAAGGATTATAATTATAAGTTATGTGGAGCACCTAATCATATATTCTCATGTCATAATACATGAATTTCATATTTACATCTATAAGACATATTTATAGAACAAACCTCTACTCTGTTTTGCAAACATCCATCATTGGTAAGCAAGACATACATCGTCAATTATGCTATCTGAGACCAAAATAATTTTTCAGTAAATAACGTCCTAACAATAAATAATTGAACATAAAAAAAATTAAACAATTATGTAACTTAAAGAGGCAACTATCTTTATAAAAGAATTTAATAAACTTTGAAATAAAACGATTCTATAAAATTTTAAATAAAATCTCAAACCGTTAAAATCTCATAATAAATATTATTATCACTTGATTGCAAGTAAGAAAATAAACAAAATCAATAATTATAAATAATTTACTATTTAAAACCAATGTGATGTAAAATTACCAAATAATCAAATTCATATAATAAAGACTTATCAGAACAATTAATAAATGTGGACACACAGTCCACGAGGGTAAATAACCAAATGCGGCTCTTGCTATAAAATCAAACAAGGACACACAGTCCACAAGGGTATGTAACCAAACGCAGCTGAAGCCACAAAACAAACATGGACACACAGTCCACAAGGGTACGTAACCAAACGCAGCCAAAGCCATGAAACAAACGTGAGTACGATGCTCACAAATAGCCATCCCTTTGTTCCAAGTGCGTTGGCCATTACACGAGGCTAGTATCTCCTATACGCACCCTACTAGCTAGGTGTACTATGGCACACCAAGGACTAACGAAATTGTCATTAGCAACCAGTGTTCTATATAAAATCCCTTTTTAAAACCATTTTCAAACATGCGAGAAAATCATCACTTTCAAAATACAGTTCTCATTCCCAAAATCAAACTCGCATGAATACTTTTAAGCATTAAAACTTGCCAGAATAAAATTTCATATCTAATGCTCATGCGTGCATTTATCAAATAATAAGAAAAAAATTTCAAAGTCAAACTCGCATGAATCATTCTCTGTATCAATCCAATATTTGATAAAATAAAAATCTCATAATCAAAGTCCAAACTTAATTTAATTGATCAAATAACATTTCAAATTTGGTAAAGCTAGTTTCTCAAAGTAAAGTAATGTTAATCAACAAATATCCAATAATCGCATTAATGCTATTAAAATGATTTCTAGAAAAATGTAATATTCTAGTAAAAGAAATTTTGATTTAAAAAAATTAGTTGGGACGCTATCCACTTACCTCCAATTTTCTCAAAGCATAAGGTTCTCCTCTTACCACACTAATCAATTTCCTCTCCTTCCAAACTCCCTATATAATATATTAGAGTCTTAATAAACTTCTAACAATGCTCAAAACTCTCTTCCAACATTGACTCATCTATATATATGTCTGTGTGTATTTATGTATATAACGATTATAGATTTAAAGCTTCGGAATCAAAATTTATACTAAAATTTCTTTATGAACATAGCTAGTTTCCCAAACCACTCAAAAGGGCTTTCTAACATTCAAATCTCTTATCACACAATTTATCAACACCCATCCACACTCAAGAATTCACCTAATTACAAGCCAATTTCACAATAAAAATTCATTAGCAACCTTGAATTTAGTTCATAAATTAATGACACCCACACTAACATACTTTTCACAAAAATTCATAAAATATTAAGAAATATAAAATCAAGCAAAACTTCTTCTAACAAACATTTTGTCAAGCAACTCTTGTGCGTTAATTCTTAAACTCAAACCAAATTCCTTCTCCTTCTATTCCAACTCCTACAACTTTATAATAGAGATATTTGAATCATACTTCAGCTTTCCAAATATGTATTCCTCAATAGAAAAATCAATCTCAAGCATAAAGAATTCCTGATTCCTATCACCACATTTCATACGATTGAAGAAAAGAAGACGAAATTTCCATAATTTAACCTACAGTACGCACATACAGCAACTAGGAAGAAGGATTGAAGCTTCTCACCTTAGAATCACCGACGGCAGAAATGGAAAAAAAGTTGACAGGAGTTAGGGAAAAGAAAATCATGAAACCATAGCAGCAACCACGAAGCAACACACAGACAGAGGGAAATTAAGGAGGAAGTTTCTTCCCACTCATGGTCTTCGATGGCCGCAAGCAAAATGAAGGAAGCTGTGAGTTTGACAAAAACCCCCTGCCACAGTAGCCATCGGCAACAACAAAATGTAGGGGAGGAAGAAAACGAAGCTGAGTTAGAACAGGGGAGAAGAAAACAATAATTGACCAGCTTCCAACTCACGAATTCGGCCCTTATAAATCCGAGACCATCTCCTCGTGTGCTCACAACCCTCAAATGGAAGAAATGAAGAAGAAAGTGAATCAGATCGCACCAATAACAGAGAAGGATGCGGAGGCTGACAACAGAGTGAGTGATCAAGAACTCGTTACCCGAACCATAGCGCTCACTTGCATGACCGGCGCCCGAACGACGGTGAAGAGAGGATAGAGAAGCCAAGTGAGGGACGAGCACTCTTTCATTCTCACGGCGTCTAGAATTTTCGAAATGAAGGAAGAGAAGGAAAGAGGAAATAAAAGCACGTTTTTGGTTTGATTTTCTCTTTCTTATATTCTTTATTTTTAATAAAAGAAAATGATAATTTTATAGAGGTTGAAGAAAGTAAAATTTTCACTCTTTATATAAGAGCATTCAAACCTGACCCTTAAGGCTGACGTTAATAATAATTACCATTGAGCTATCAATTACTTTAATAAATTTACTTCAAAATATATAAATATAATCAAATTACCTTATGATCATTTTTTTATCAAGCTTTCGAGTTATTATACTTATTAATTTTAATTTTACAATTATATTTTGGGTCATTACATGACTTTAGTAAGATATTGCAGGCCACAACTATTGCATATATTAACTTTGTTTGCACAATTATAAATGTATCATGAAAGTTTTATAATTTGTAGTATGATCTATCTTTGATTCTTCAATTTCCAATATTTACCACCATCATGTCTTCCTCACTAACTTACAGCGTTTCGTTGGAGATATGTTAGAATTCGTTGAGGTGACAATAGAAGCATCAATGATAGGTACATCCAGACAAGAAGAAATGAGGAAGCCCGTTCACCACTAAATAAATTTAACCCAAGAAAAAAGGGAAGATGCAAGATCACACACAATATATATATATATATATATGAATAACAAAGAGAGGAAAAATAATCGAACAAGCAATGAAAAATAGCCATAGTCACAAAAATTTGCCAAGGATTGCAAGGCATCTGATTTCATAACAGGACTTCTCAGCTTATATAATAAATTGATAAATTGAAGACTGTAATAGCCTATAATAATAATAATAATAAATATATATTTAAAAGTTGGTGTTTAATAATAGTTATATTAATTTGGAAACATGTTTAGTAAGGAGAACTGTTGGTAGAGTGGAAGCATGCATGCTAGAATATTTGAAGCTCCCAAGTTTGAATCCCCAGTGTAAGAAATGAAAATTTTATTTTGCTTAGCTCCTTTGAAATTACAGAATACCCTTGTCCCATCAGATATATTTTCTTTCTTCTCTGAGTCGATTTACAGAGTGTGAGAAGGCGATAGAAAAGTCTGGAACTATGGTGTAACTGTTCTCTTCATCCTTCTGTGTCTCTCTCTGTCTTCTCATTTTTAGTGGTCGTTGATAAGAGTGGAGGTTGTCACAGCTCTTAAATTTTCAAGAGGTTCACCTTCGTATCTCCCCTGTTCGGCGTTAATAGAATCTCCTTTTCTTTTCTCTGTTTGTTTACCGCGGTTCAGGTTAGCTAAGTTGCATGGTCACCGACTAATCTTCTCCTTCGTATTCTCAATGGTCGCTGGCCAGAGTAGAGCATGAGCAGCACTGGGTTGATCTGTCCGTGCTTCTTGTCTCTGTTTTTTTTTTTCTTCGTTTTCTGCTCTGGTTCTACCTGTATCGTCACCTTCAAGCAGTAGCTGGATGAGGAACCGAGTTGCTGGAGCTACGGCAGTACTGTAATGAGTCTAGACTGTTGCTGTTGATTCATTTGCTGTGTTTCCTTGCGAGTATAGTCCAGTTTTTTTTTCTGCTCCCCTGTTCTGTTGCAAGCTTCATTTTTCTCCTTTCATAACGTGCTGCAGCATCAGTTTTCTCCTCTGTTCAGCATTTAAGGACCTTCTTCTCCTTCCTTTGCTGTCCATTGCTGTCTGGATCAGTCAAGTTGAGGTGAGGAGTTTCAATCCTTGTATAATTAATTTTGCTGGGTTGTGAACGTAGGCTTCTGTTGCTGTGCGTGAGAATATAAGTGCTGTGTGTGTACGTGGAAATGCAGAAGCTAGTGTGTGTGTGTGTTACTGCTACTGCTCGGTTATGTGTAGTCATGACAACTTCAGATTTTTACTGTCACCTATACTGTTACGTAGAGAGGAGCAGACAAAAATTTAAGCAAGAAACCATCTAAACTTAATGATAATATATGATAAATGTGGGTTGGGGGTTGAAATTTTAGAAATTCATCCTTGTGATTACATGTGCATACATAGAAAAGAGTGTTTTAAATTAATGGATATTGTAGTTGTATAACCAAGGAAAGTGATTGAATTAGTAATAATACTTGAACCAATTTTAAATCATAAATTTGGCTTTAAATTTTAGATGAGGATGGTTAATTTGGAATTATACTAAAGATTGGGAATCTATGAAATTATTTTTATCCTGATAGGGGGTGAGGAAGAACAGCACCCTGATCAGAATTAAAAGAAACGATATCCTTGAGAATTTAAAATTTTGACGAGTAAGTGAATAACATTCTTTATAATTATTTATTGAAAATCGTTTATTGAAATATTTCATTTTTATGAATTATGTTAGTTTTGAAAATTTTGAAATAACGATGAAGGATAATTACATTATGATTTGTGCATTTTCTCAAAAAATATATTTCTAATATTGATGAAGGCACCTTTGCTTATTGAATTTCAAAATTTCTTGGTTACATGATTAGTGCAAGTTTATACATTCGTTATGATGTATCAATTTGGCAAGTTTCATATATTTGAAGCTATGCGAGTTTGATCTTGAGAATGAAAATTTGACTTCAAAAATAATTATTTCTCTCGCATGTTTGAAACGGGATTTTTAAGAGAACTCTATACAGAACACTGCTGCTAACAGTAGTTCCGTTAGCCCGTAGCGCGCTGTGGTTAAACACTAGCTAGTTTGTTTCGTGAGCTTTATTCTCACGTTTGATATTCGTGGGCTTTATACCCGCGTTTGATTCCGTGGCCTGAACCGCGTTTGGTTACTTACCCTCGTGGGCTGTGTGTCCACGTTTGTTTTGTAGCTTCGGCTGCGTTTGGTTACTTACCCTCATGGATTGGTGTGTCCATGTTTGTTTTCGTGGCATAAGTCACGTTTGGTTATTTACCCTCAAGGACTGAGTGTCCACATTTATAACCTGTTCTGTTGAGTTCTCAAAATTTTAAATGTTGATTAATATGTATTTTCAAAACTTACATGATTTTGACTAGCAATTTGTATCACTTTGAGTTATATGTGAACAGATTGTTTTCTTTAAGTATGATAACATAAATTGTTTTCAACTTATTCTTATTTTACAAATATGATTATGACTTACATGCTTATAAATTCTGGTGGAATTACTTTCAATTATCTGACACCATTATTTGAGATTGTCAATTTAAATTTTAAGAATTTTACCATGAGAATGATATTCATTGGAAAAAAATTATTTGGCCTCAGATTTGTTAGCTGACGCCAATCCCACCATCGACCTCAAAAAGGACAGAATAGCTACAATGGGTGAAAGTTTTTGATTGGTATTGTTTCTTTTAATGTAAATATATAACTCGTATGTCTTTTTGATTTAAAAGAAAGATTAGATGCTCCACATAGTTTGTTGATAAATCTTATTTTGGTCTGTATATTGATTGCTGGCTGAAAGGAGCTACGCTCCTGATTTATACTGTTATCTGTAAAAAAAAATTATTGTAAAATTTTCAGGAGATCCTAGTTACAGGGGAGGTTCTACTGAAATTTCTACAAAAACGTCAACACTTTCTTATGATAATGAGTTTAAAGGAGTTATTTTAATTCTCATATGATTTGATTAAATTTTGTTCTTTTCTTTTGTAAAAATGAATAAATGTTCATTTTGAGGCTTACAGGAATGTGTGAGTGATTCACACCCATGCCGGCCACCCTCTATTTTTGGGGCGTAACATAGATAGATCACAGAGAAGCTAGCATAATTGCAGAGAAAGATTATACCTAAACAGCAAAGGTCGAAGATCCCTCTCTCCAAGGAAGAGAAGACGAAGAAGACACGGTGAGGCCATGAGGGAGACAAAGTTGAAGATAAGGTTCTTTGGAAGGGAAGCAAGAAGCTTCATCGGTGGGAGTAAAGATGGAGAGAGGGTGCGATGATAATGAAGGACAAGCTCGGTGATAGGTGCAATAGGAGAGAGTGAGAGGGCGATATTTTTTTCCAATTGGAAGGTGGGAGAGAAGACGGGCGCACATTTTAGAATGTGGATAAACCATAGATTCTACCATTAATCACCCTTCATCAACTCATATACAAGTACATACCATGCATGTTAAACACGTCTCTTTTATTATCTCAGTTTTGACTTGATTTATTTCCTTTTGTATCATGGTCTAGCAACATTTTATATATAGGTTGCCTTTTCTTCTATAATGAATAAGATAATAAAATCAAACATGTCAATGCCCTCAAAATCTACAAACGTAATGGCAAGACTAATTTTTAAAGTTTTGGTTTAAGAAAAATCATAAGCAGCCATGTATTTGCTAGATCAATAAACATGATTAAGAAAAAGTTGGCAAGACTTTCTCATTATTGATGTTGAGGTAAAAATATAAATTCAATTCGCAAACACAGCTTTTAATGCTGGTCATTTCAAACATGTAATGACTAAAAAAATAATCTGCACTTCACAAATGAATCATGCCAATAAGTGTTTGTTGTTAAGTATTAGCTTTTGAGAGTCAATAACCGTGCGAGATAAAAAAAGTTGGCAAGCACTGGCCAAAATCATATCATCCACCCACCCACAATCTAATAGTACTCTTGCCTTCTCCATATAGTATTCTTTGGCTTCACTTGGTTTGACACTTTATGGTGATGAAAATGCACCCGATATTTGAGTCTATTTTCCTGACTCAAAATCTTGGGATATTTTTGCAGAAATTCTTGAGAAGACCCAAATAATTGCAGTCCTAGGAAGTGGTGTTGGTCTAAATAAAATCTTGCATCACATGAAGGTTCACAAACTCTTGACTTGAAGGTTCACAAATAAAGATAAAGGGTAGAACATTTTAAAGAAGAGGGAGAGGAGGAAAAAAATAGTACTTGTCAGTTTGGTTTATGTCTGATTTAACTATCCATATGCAAACATATAGAGAATGACTACTCTGTAGTATGTACCACAATATTGAACAGTAGAAGCTTAATGCGTGTAACTTGCCTCAACCTTGCTTGCGAGTGTGTTCCCCAACTCTCTCACCTTATTACGTCCGCTCCTGGTGGAGTCAGTTTGGTTTATGTCTGATTTAACTCTCTTCTTCATTAGATCTGATCCAATGGCATGGAGGATACCACATGTGGATCCCTCTCTGTTGTGATTCCCTCGTTAAAAAGAGAGGAAATTAAGCTCCCAAGTGCCACAACACCAAAAAGCTGCAAAATTTGTTATTCATTTATCATTACCATTTGCTTGGAAATTAATAGCCCTGGACTTACTATTTGGTTCACTGTGATCTATTTCCTGAGAAAATTCAAATGCACGAGAGGTATAGATAAAAGGCAAATATATGTACTCAACAAACTCTAAAGTCATACCATAGCTTCAACAGTAGTGCCCATTGGAGCCTTTTGGGCTTCGAAGTCATACCATAGCTTCAATAGCGCGCGCGCGCACGTATTGTGTTCATTTAATGAAAAGCTGCAACACACACGCACACTATGTTCAACATTACACACGTATGCACACATTATGATCAACATTTAATGAAAAACCGCGAGAAATTTTTTGCAACAAATAATTACAAACCATAGACTATTTTTTCATTATTCACCACACGTATTCACCACATGAGTAAAGCCTTAAACACTAATAAATTTTAACTTTATTAGAAATTATTAAAAAAAAAAGACTTGAATGCAGTATTACGTCTACTATGCTTTGATCACTGCAGTTGTTTTTGGGTCTGAGTCAAGTTCAAAATCATACTAACTTACAAGTATACTACAATACTATCTTTGAGCACTATTTGCATGTAGTATAGCAGCTAAAGGTAATAATATATGTATGTGTGTATGTAAAAAGTTCGCCAAGATTTCTATGAATGAAGTAAAACTCACCTTCATGTAAAGGCTATCTTCAACCTAGGGAACTTCATCAATGACTTGAATAGTTTGATCATCAGCTTTTTCTTTCACGGTTGAGAATTCATATTCATCAAATTTCTAAGAAGGAGTTTTTGTCAGCCAAATTAAAAAATAATGAGCAAAAAGGCACTTCCAAAATAAAGAGTAAAAGTCCACCTTTTGCCTGTTAATGGTGTAGATATCCATTCCCTTTGCTGATAGCACGTCTTCCCTGATGAGCTTATCCATCATCTCCAAATAACCCATCAAAATTAATCACCATGACAACATTGATCGTCAAGCGATGGAATTTATCACACCGCTCTAATGTGATGGTTAAGTCTTATACCTACAATTAAAACTTGCCATGGTCAAAAATCCAAAATTATATTGTATCCGACATAAAAGGAGAAAAAAAGGTAAAAAATTACACAAAATTAAATTGCAAGACTTGAACCACAAAATACAAATGACCAAAACCAATTATCTTAGACAAATGTTGTAAAGGATATTAAAAAAAAAAGGACAAATGCTGTAAAGATCAGAAAATTAAAAGAAAAAAATTACCACTGAGGTGTCAGGAAAATTTGCTAGAACGTCAGTAAGCTCAACAATGTCAAGGTAGCTATGAAGAATCCGCTACTTCACCTGGTCTAATTGTCTCCCATCTTCTATAGAATCCTGTGTATTGTCTGCGTAAAAATATAAAAGATTATGAGGTATTCAAATAGCTAGTTTTTTGGTCAAACTATCTGCGTGTGTTAAAGAAAACATACTAGTTAAATTGATACCTCTATACATACACATTAAAAAACAATTGACAAACATATACATCTTCTGGGTTGTATATACGCACATATTGACATGCCTGACAGAAACAGATATATATAAGGTAGGTAGGAAGGATAGTTTAATTCAAATAAGTTTAAAATGCCAAGTTTACCTTGGTCATCCATGCCATCAATTATCTGTGGTTGTTTTTTCTGCGGTAATAGATACAAACTCGTTTACATATTAAAATGGACTTGAGTAAATGAAATGAAAAAAACAGCCTGAATGGCAATTACCTATTGGGGCAACTATATATCAATCTCCTTGAGTATGGTCGACCTAAAAATTGTATAATTACAAAATTTTAAGAACTCGATCGCTTTAATGGCTCATTTCAGTCAGGTAGAATTTATAAGGATGTTTTATATCAAGCAACATCCTTACTTACCTCACTGTTAGAATCAAAATACTCATCCCTCTGCGTGGAATCAGCCCCAGGGCTCATCTCATCATCTTGCATTTGCTCATTCCGATGCTCACAAGGATCTGTAACACTCTTTACCTGTATAGGTAAAAAAGAAACCCTCATTGGAAAGATGAAAAATGGAGTTACCAGAAGCACAATTACTCACTCCCAGATGTTGCTCGACAAGCATGAAAAATAGAGGGTGTGGAAAGGAGGATGCAAAGAACAGTGAGGAAAGATGTGAAGAGTGATGCAAGCAGATCTAACAACACGCCAAGTTAGAAAGAGAAAATCACGACCAGATCTAAAACTTAATCATCGTCGATGGTTTCGTTAGAGAATTAGATGAGGATGCGGAGGAGGAGGGAATTGGCTCTGATGAACGGAAAGGTGATGTTTGTGTTTTGGATCGTCTCTCTCTAATACTTTCATATCCACGGTGATAATAGAAGATAATTTTGGCCAGAAGTAGGCTCTGAGGGAGAAAGGGCGAGCGGAAGGTGATTTATTCTGAGCATAGAAAGGTCCGGAAGGCAGGATAAAGAAAGATAGAATAATTTTTTGAAATAATAATAATAATAATAGACAAAAAAATGATGGGACCCACAAAAAAGGACATTTAGAGAAAAACACTGTAGATGACAACATCAAGCAAGGCCATTTGAAGGAAAACACTGTAAATAATGAAAAAATACACAAGCTTTATAAGATATAAGATGTATTTTTTTTTATACTAGTTAAATTGTAAATTAAAATAATGTGATAATTTAAAAGTCTTTCACTAAAATTAATGTCAGTTTTATAAAATTTACAATTTATAAATCTTTTTGTTTAGATAATCTAATGTAGCTTACATTCCATTAAATCCAACCATTATTTTAACAATAAGAGGATAAATGTCAATATTAGAAAGTTGAGGGTGTGATTTTTAAACTTCTAAAGCTAATTAAGAGGTATTATGGGCATTTCGTCCTTTTTCAAAAATTAATCTGTCTCATCCAAAAATGCAAAAAACAAACAAACATTCATTTAAATTTCAACTTTCAACTTCCCAGTGCTTTGCATGAATTGGGCCAAAAGAAATGCGCTTTGCATTAAATATAGTGCAAATATTTGTGGGCCAAAGAACAAATAAAACTCATAGTCTTCGCATTATAAAAAGTTAGTCTCAGTTTTGTGATTATTAATTAATTAATCTTTTCAATTCAACCATTTTTGATTTCCTACTCTATATTTGTTGTTTTACTTCGGCACTTGTGTTCCACTACTCTCCATGTGTGAGAGCCCTCTTCTTCTAAGATCTTCCATTTTCCAGTCCTTGATTCCCTTTCTTCAACACTTGAAATATATATCATGCATTATTGGATAGAATGAATGGATACTTAAAATCAAATCATATAATGCATGGATAACTCACCCCCCCGGGCTCTCTCTCCCCCTCACTTGTATGGAATTCATCATTTAATATGGTAAGCTTAGGATAGAAGATCTCAGTCCCCCCTCCAATAAAAACAACAGCAACAGCAACAACAACAGCAACAACAATGTGTTTTACTATTAATTGAATTTATTTTTTGTATTGGTTAACATTATATTTTTTTGATAAATGTTTGATTTTTAATAAAAATTCTCTATACATATATATGTTGCTATTCTTATGATAATATTTTCATTTTTATATCTAATTAGCATTAAATTTTTAATATGCCTTGATGTTGGACTCATAACAATGCTACCCATTCAAGAGCCGACTTCCTAGCAATAAGGGTGATCAAATGTGATTTGGTTTGCACAAAAAATGACATTTGATCAATCTTTAATTAATATTAGTTTGGTACAGTTCTTTTAGGCAGTTTGGTTTAGTTTGGTTTATACATGAATCAAACTATAATATTTTGTTAACATATAAAATTATATATTATGGTTAAGCATAACTTTTTACTCTCTTTTTTCTTTCATATTACAACTTCAGATCACATTTTCACTTTATCATTCATGAATGGAAATGAGCATCATGTCCAGATTAAAAATATTCAAATTTCATTATCAATAAATATCATAATATATACATTTGCAAGTAATATGTGCTAAATTTCATTACAAATTTGCTCAACATCTATAATTAAAAGTAACTCATTTTAAATAAAAAAGGAAAATTTTGTATCTAAAATTATTTAAAAGATCATTCTTGAAATAACATCACTATATACATTTGACTTTCTAATAGAAAATTTGAGAAAGGAATGGTTAATATATGTTAGGAATTCTATTAAAGTATTTTAGTTTTTCGGCTGGACTTTAGTTAGAGTTAAAATTAAAAAAAAACACTAATAATCTAATATTAACCATAAAATAAACTTAACTAATTGTAACTATTTGTTTAATCTCATGAAAATAGTTGAGAAGGGGCTTCTCATAAAAAAGACAAAATTGGAATTCAATTTTTGAATTCCAATGTGTTCAACCCTTCAATGACAAAAGGGAATCAAAAAATTTCTCCCTACTCAAACTTCAGTCTTGATCCCAATTATATATAGGTCATTAAATAACTTAGAAATAATAGCCATGACCATCATAATCAAATTGGACTGGCGACTGAGTAACTAGCCTATAGTCTAGTCTAGCCAACCATAAGAATCTGAGTAAAAGTGAACCATGACACAGTTTATCAAGACCAATGAAAATTGGTGAAAATAATAAAAAAATTGATTTTTCATTTTTTTTAAATCTCAATAATCCAAAACAATGCTATTTTATGCTTTATATGTCTTGTGTTTGGCTTTTCTCTTGTGTTATACATATGATATATATCTATATATACATATATATCTATATATATATTCAATGGTATATGTATATATATATATATCTCTATATATAGATGTGTATATATATATATATATGATTCAATGGTATTTTTTGTTAACAATGGAACCTAATTGAGTTAGTTTGGTTATAACATTAATGTGACACACTCCCTCTACTTTTAAATATAAGAAAATTTTAACCAAGTCACATAGTTCACTAAAGTTGGTTAAGGTTAATCCTAATAATCATATTTGAGATTAAAAAGTTTAAATTAAAATGTCCTTGTAAATTTTGGTGACTTGTGATGAACAACAAATATTTTTGTTACAATGTTTTTGGGATAAACCATAAACTTGCTATGCATTATAAGAAGTATGAATGAATATTATCTTAAATATTTTTATATTGCATACATGTTTTTAACTAAGATAGAGTTGGTTAAAGCCAATGAAAATTCATAAAACTGATCAATAATTAATTTTCTTTTTTTTGGAAAAAAATGCTCATTAGCCTAAAATAATTCTATTTATGTTTTCAACTATTCATTGGTCTTCAAGATTTTTAAAAAAATTTCATAAAAAATTTGCAACAATTTTTTTAAACACCTTTGTAACATCCTAAAATTTTAAGACTCAAATTTATAAAAAAATAAAATATTTATAATTAAATTAAAATTAAAAATAGTATGATAGAGGTCTTGAGTTTGAATTTTACTAAATAAACATTGGGTTTTATTTTATTTTTAACTATGAAAAAAATTACAAAAGTTAACCCAGGTTTGTGTGTTGAACAAAAAAATTTGGGCCCTTTCTTGTAATTTTTCCTAAAATATTTTAAGATCAGTCTTTTAAAGAGAAACAGAAATGCAAAAAATAGAACAAAGAAAGAAACAAACGGACGAGAGAGTGAGAGGAAGAAGAGAGGAGGAAGAGAGAGAGTGAGATTCAGATCTAAGAGGCTTTACAACTGTTGCAAGTTCGGTTACATGATAGGTAAATTCCCTACTTCAATCATCTCCCTTCCTCTTTGTTTTCTTCAATTTTGGAAGAGGAAATTTTTGAAGTTTGATCCAAAAGGCTTTATTCTTATAAGTTTTTGTTTCCTTGGGTCCTTGGGAGATTGTTTTGAGTTTCTACACGGTGCCCTAATATCTTGAGTGGGTAATTGGATTAAAAATGGAGTTTTAAGGCAATAATCAAACCCCAGGAGGTTGGATTTTGCTCATCAATGATTTAAGCCTATTGATTTAATTATAATTGTGCTATTTGAATCTAATAAATTTAAATTAAGCTTTGGTTTTCATTATAAGGGTAAATGGTGAAAGTTGGTGACACTAAGTGAAGGTTTTTAATTGATTAAAAATTATATGAATTGAAAATTGGCCTAGTGGTGGCTAATAAATAGTTTTGGTAATTAAGTGGTATTATGTGAATGATTGGTTTAATATATAGACTATTGAGATCGATTATGGCTTATTGACCCAAGTTGTGTGGTATGAGTTATAGTCTTCATTAATGCTATTTGCCATGAAAAGTGATATGGATCACTCATATGTTGTAGGGAATTGTTGTGGAACTTATTGAGAAGTTAAGGAACAAGTCAAGTCCTATTTTATACAAAAGGAACCCTTTTATTACCAAAGGGTTAAGGTAACAGGGAAATTTATATTTCTTATTACTTTATTTAGCTACTTTTTGAATAAATATTACTAGCTATCATGCATTATATATTTTAAAAGATTAAATGTGCTTTATAAAGGGTTACGGGGTACTACTTTGATTATAGTGCAAATAAGTTTTCTAATTGTTTAACAACAATGTTTTATGAAAACGAGATTTGTTTGCATGTATTGTAATTATAAAGAATAGAAGTTGCACTTAAGAAAATGTAATTAAGTTAGGTACCTTAGATAGGCTAAGGAACTATTCAAAGGAGATTTATAAATGTTATACTACCTTAGAGTGTTGAAGTGGTCAATACTCAGAAAAGGTAGACAAGAGTAAAAGGCATGATTTCGATGGGAGTTCACTAATGAGAAGTTGTGGACTTGTAATATTCTATGGCACACTACCAGTACTTAGTGTTGCCTTACATATTGTGGACTCGGTGTACTGAAGAGGTTAGTGTATTGAGTATTCAGCACCTTTTAATGGGGGAGGAAATCTGACATATAAAGTATAAGGTTGAGTGCCTAGGCCAAGGTAGCCCTCACATAGAGAGTAAGTCGGACTGGCTTTAGGAGGGAGTTAGTTTCGACTGCTCAGGATTCACATCGAAAAGGCATAGGCAGTTCGGTGGATTAGATTATGCCTTAGATTATGTTTTGTGCCTTTAGAGTACAAGTAGGTATAAGGTTTACATATGAATTAAAGAGTGCTAGGAGGCATTCTGTTGGTCATGAAAGGCCGTACCGGCCTATGTCATGCATTCATGCATATTAAATGGCTAAATTATATATACGTTGAATTTATCATTCGTTTATTTGATTATGGTTTACTTTATAATAATCAATATAGATTTCTCTGTTACTGAGACTGTGATTGTCTCACCCCTTTCTTTTTAATATTACCAGGTTTAGGTGAAGGAACCAGTGGTGGATGGGGAAAGGAGCAGAGTTAGGGGTTGTTTGTGGATTGTAAAGAACTACAACCCCTTTCTTTTGAAAAAATCTATTATAATGTATTTAGGATTA